GTTATCATGAAAGATAAGAAAGAAAAGTTTAGACAACTTTAAGACTGAGAATAGCACTCTGGCTATACATTTCTTTCTTTCTTTTTTTTTTTTTCTGGAGCTATCTCCCAAGAAACTGTTCTATTTCATCTCCAGATTAAGACGAACTCATTTAACTGGTGCTGTCCCTTCCAAAGGATTCCCTTGGTGTGATCTAAAATGTTTTCCGGGATTCCCCCAAATAAGAAAATGAACCAAATAACCCCACATTGCGTTCTTCATACTGACTAACCATCTATTCACTGGTCTACCCTGTCAATGAATGAAAAATTAACTAATCCAACAATTCCTAAATTGCTTTCTGTATTTAATAGAGCGTGAGGTGCTGGGTGCCATTTTGCATTTCTGTTGATGTTTTCTGGGTTTTCCACACACCTCCAGCACCTCAGCCATTACTGTCTGCCACAGGGCTGCAGTTTCTTATACCCCAGGGGGCAGACCATTTCAGCACATAAATACAGGACCATCTGATCGGGCCACCAGATGTGCCACCCCACCCAAGGCAGGGCTTGTTAGACACGGAGAATATGCTCTGGCAGGGTGGGAAAGGGGCAAATGTCCACTCAGGTGAAATGAACCAAAGTGGTGAGGGACAGGCTAGCCAGCTGCAAAAGGAAGGAATTTCTTTCTCCTGTCCCCCTGGGGGTAACTTGCCAGCTCTTCCTTTCCCCAGAGTGCATGCCTGAGTTCTTCCTGCACAATGATGTGTGCCATCAGTCCTGTCCCAGCGGCTTCTATGAGGACTCGCGCCAGTGTGTCCCCTGCCATGAAGACTGTCTGGAGTGCAGTGGCCCCAAAGCAGACGACTGCGAGCTCTGTGCTAAGGATTTCCTGGTCCTCTATGATGGGCGGTGTTTAGACGCATGTCCAGCAGGAACGTACTTTGAGAAAGAGACTATGGATTGCAGAGGTAAAGACTTCCAGGATGCGTGGCCGAGCGTGGCATCCCAGGAAGCCTAAGGAGATGGGCTTCTGCTGAGACAAAACAGGCTCTGGGGTTTGCACAGTTCCAGCCCCAGAGCTGTCCTCCCACCCTCCACCCTACCCCTCAAAGAAGCATACTTCGAATCTGTTATAAAGTGAATCACTCATAAGCTTCGATCATGTAACTTTTCTTAGTAACAAATCACGTGGACCCTCCTCATTACAGTGGCTACTATGAACTGCAGCTCCGAAGGGATTCCCATGTGAAAATGTACAACAGAGATGATGAGCCTGCAAAACTTGCTCAGAATTTTTAGCCATTTTAAATGCGTAGCATAAGCAAACTGTGCCACAGAGGATTTCCTGGGGGCCTCTTGTCCCCTGCATCGTGTACCTCCCCAGTGCTCCCCGTCCCTCCTGCTTACCTTCCTCTCCTGCTCCGAGTCCCCTATTCCATCTCCCATTCGCACTGTGGTCCAGATCTGCTATAAATTTATACCTCCTTATGTTTTTTTTTTTTTTTTTCTTTTTGTCTTTTTTCGTGTCCGGCAACGGATCGCAACCCTCAGTGTCGCGCCCGTACTGGACCGGGACCGGCAACGGGATCGCAACCCTCGGTGTCGCACCCGCACCTCGCTCAGCCAGTGAGCGGGAACCGGTCTGTATGTGGGATCCGAACCCTCAGCAGGAGTGCCGCCGTGCTCCCAAGTGGCGCACTGTAGCAGTGCGCCACCGGGCCAGCCCATACCTCCTTATGTTTTCACTGGGCATGAATTATTGGCCTCTTATTAGTTATCGGGGAACAGAAAAATAAATTGCCCATCACTAGAGGAATTCTCAAGCAGGTGAGAGAGAAGCATTCTGGGGAAGGGACTTTTCTAAAGCCCCAGGATCCACTCCAACCAGGCAGCCCCCAACACAGTGGTGGCTCAGTCCCCTGTGTTGCCACCAAGCAAACACGAGATAGATATCCAGAGGCAGTCCCCTGACAACAGCGGGAGCTTGATGGTGACCTCAGGTGGCAGACCTAGAACATACTCAGGGAAAGGTTTCTGGTGGGACATGAAGATGGTTCTTACTCCTGAAGCCTCTTTGCTTTAGCATGATCTGCATGTGCCTTTTTGTGTGTTTTATGTAAAGCACAATTTAGTGTCAATGTGCTGCTGACTGATGGTGGAAGGCTGTGGACTTCCACTGGGTGGCTGTGCCTTCCTGCAGAGATGGTGGAGTTTGCATGGGGGGCAGGCTGTGGAGCTCAGATGGTTTCTGGGAGCAGTTCAGAGACAGCCAAAGGCCTGCAACCACGTCTTGCCTGTGTTAGGGCAGGAGCTAAAGTTCAACTTCTGGCCTTTCTCTGGTCTTCAATAATTAATGTAATTTACCATGCAGAGAGCTTTACAGGTCCCAGAATATGTTTACTTAATTTATTTGATTTAATTATTTCCTTGAGAAAGGCCCCTGGTTGCCCCTCAGAATGACCTGGGGAGCTCTAAAAATCACAGATGCCCAGGTCCACCTCAGACCCCGCCCGCCCCACCATTATTCTGATGCTTAGTGAGGGTTGAGAAGCATTGAGATAAATGTCAGTCTTCTCCATTTTTCTGAGAATCAAATTGATGCTTTGTGGAGTTTGGCACTTGCTCAGTATGACCCAGCTAGGACGGGCAGAGTCAAAAACCGATTTGAGGCCTCGCCCTGCAGGGCCACTGTCCCTTCCACTGGTCCAAAGGGAGGCCGAGGGAAGCTGGTTTGGAAGAAATAGAGGGAAGACCTGACTTTCCAGAGAGATGAAACGAAGAATCTGACCTGAAAATTAAGATTTGGGTAGGTGTAGAGAAGCATTTGGAAGTGAACAATCTCTAGGCATGATCTTCTCTGAGAAACACATGGACTTTGGATTCACTGTGGCCACTGCAAATTATCCCCTAGTGGATAGTGCAGACACCTCTAAAACTCCCACAGCTTTCCTGAGGCACTGGGGCAGGATTAGCATGATCACTTACTAAGGTCTTGGGTTCGACTCCTGATTCTACTCTTTTCCAGCCGAGTAACGTAGCATCTCCAGCTTCAGTTTCCTGATCTAGAGAAAACGAGATGATAATAATAACCATAATAATGCCTTGCATCAGGCTGGCCTGTGGCTTACTTGGGAGAGTGTGGTGCTGATAACACCAAGGCCATGGGTTCGGATCCTATTACCGGTCATCTTTAAAAATAATAATAATAATAATAATAATAATGCCTTGCATCTATGCATGCAGGGAATTCTTACTGGGAGCCTGCTAGGTGCCATGTGCTCTTCCAGGCCCAGGAACAGCAGGGAGAGATGCCCACAGAATCCCTGCCTTCATGGAGCCTGCATTCTCTTGGGGAAGACAGACCCTGAAGACGATAAGTCAAGAGAAAAAATAGGGCAGGGTAGGGGATAGAAAGATGGGCAGGATGGAGTTGAGACTTGAGAGAAGGTGGCCTGGAAAATATCGTTGAGAAAGGGAGGGAGCAAACCATGCACAGTACTGGGAGAAGAGACTTTCAGGAGTGAGAATGGCAGCTGCTAAAACCTGGAGGTGGGAGTAAATTGTTCTTAGTTTATTTGTCTAACAAGTACTTAGTGAGCACCTGTTATAAGCCAGGCCGTCTCACAGGCACTGTGCATTCATAAATGAATACAGAAGAAGCCTTATGTGGCAATGAGCTGTTATGTAGATTCCAGCAGTTGCTGCACTAGCGATAAGCTCAAGGTGACTGGGAGGTGCGTGGAGGCTGACAGCAGCACAGGTTGTGATGGTCGAAAGGCCCACACCAGTGAGTGCCCGTGCTGTGCAGAGTCGCTCGCTGTTGTTTTGTTGCCGTTTGGGTAATAACAGTGAACCTTATAGTATTTCTGAGGTGGCTGTTGCAGGAAGGAGCTCTCTAGGTATTACAGAGAAAGTGAAACAGTCATTCTTTCTCATTTTGCAACAAGAATGCTCCACCCCAGAGCCCAAGGGCTGTACCCAACTCATGGCCCCATGTTCTCGGCAGAGCTCTAGAAATCTCTGGAAGAAACATGGAAGGGACAGGAACAGCCTTTCCAGGGGAGTCCATTCCCCCAAGGGGTACCTAGCCCTCTCTCACCCTCTGCTGTCCCTGCCGTCCTGCAGATTGCCACAAGTCCTGCCAGACCTGCTCGGAGTTTGGGACCTGCACGAGCTGTCGGGAAGGGCTGAGGATGAACACCCGTGGGGGCTGCGTGGCCAACAGGGAATGCGCCCTCTCCGAGTACTGGGACGAGGAAGACCACGCGTGCAAGCCCTGCCACGCTAAGTGCTTCCGCTGCACGGGGCCTGCCCAGGACCAGTGCCACACCTGCCACAGGGACAGCCTTCTTCTCAGTGAGTTGCTTTTCCTCCCAGGAAGGCTTCACTTTTCCCTCCCTCTGGGAACTACCTTGTGTGGTGCCTGATGACCAACGGGTATGGGCTGCTTTCTTTTTAATTGTTTGCTTCGTGTGGAAAACTTTCAACCCTACAGAAAAGATGCAAGAGTGAGACTAGGGCAAAGCACATCACGCATATTCCTTTCACCCCGGTCACCCACTGCTAATCTTTCACCCCATTCGCTTTATCACTTGCAGGCACGCGCGCTCTCTCAAAGTACATGCATACACAATCCACAGCAGATTTCTCCCTAAACTATTTGAGGGAAAGGTACATACATCACGGTCCCTTTCCCACAAATACTTTAGTACATATTTCCCCCAAGTAGGGACACTTCCTTACATAACCACAGGACAGATGGCAACTCGAGTAAATTTTACATTGATACATTATTCTAATATACTATCCCTGTGAAAATGTTGACAATTCCCCTTTAGAACAGGGTTCAGTCTGGAGTCAGGTATTACGTTTAGCTTCCATGTCTCTTTGCTTCCTTCAATCTGGAACATTTTCATAGATTATCTTTGGCTTTTATAATATTGATGCTTTAGAAGAATATAGTCCCTCTTTCTCCTCTTGGGTTGCTGTGAAGTTAGTTTCCCCATGGTTAGCAGGAGAGTATGTACTACACGTCACAGGGCATGGTGTGTCCTCCAAGATTTATACCTGGAGGCATGTGACATCCACCCACTTCCCGTTGATCTGGTCAAGATGTTTAATTCCTCCACCCTATAATTGATATTTATTCCCTTGTAATTAATACGGAGTCCGGGAGATAATAAGCAGTCTGTGGGGAGACACTTTAAGAACAAGTAGATATTCAGCTCCTCCTCAACATTTCCCCTTGGTTGAGCATCTGTTGATTAATAAATCCTCTGTATGGTGCAGTCCAAGGTTGGCCACCTCCGAAGTCAGGTTCGATGGTTATTACTACTACGAGGCAGTGTCCTCAGGTTTCCAGAAATACCACGATTAGACTTAAAGAAAGAGTGGAAGAAAGAAAATAAAATAAAAGTCAACTCAATTGAAAGAAGCTGCCACGGGCCGGCCCGTGGCTCACTCGGGAGAGTGCGATGCTGATAACACCGAGGCCATGGGTTCGGATCCTATATAGGGATGGCTGGTTTGCTCACTGGGTGAGCGTGGTGCTGACAACACCAAGTCAAGGGTTAAGATCCCCTTACCGGTCATCTTTAAAAAAAAAAAAAAAAGAAGAAGAAAAAGAAAGAAAGAAGCAGCCATGGTGGAAATAAAATGAAAGACGCAGCTGTAGGAGAAAGAAGACCCATGAATATGGTAGACCAGAAGGTGTTAGCACGTGTCTCCCCAACAGCAGAGTGGGCCAGAGAAGGGAGACACTCGATGTAAAATATGTGGCTGGTTTTTCCACTTCATGTGGAGGGACCATGAGCAAGGGCACCGTTCTCCTGCTAAGGCACAGGGACATCGATCTCCAACACCACTCCTGACCACCTCACAATGGAGACACTTGGAGATACCAGTCCTCTCCATCCATCTGTCCATCCATCTCTGCTCCTGTACACACATCTCAGTGACCTCCCTCCCCACACTTCCTGCGTCATGAAAACATTCCCTCCAACCAGGTCTCCCATATAATCCCACCCCCCAGGACCTCCTTCCTTAATTATCCCCAATCCAGTGGTCACCTCAGATGTCTTCATACAGACAGAAAGACAACTCGTCACTATAGGGTGGTCTTCCCTTAAACCAGGGAAGCAAATTAGACTAGAACTGAGACTTCGGTGCTGGTGCATAACACTGACCTGTGGTCCCTCAAGGGCTGGGTGCAGGATTTGCTCTGGCCTGGTCTTCTCCCATTCTCCCCACCTGCCCCATACCACCACACCACCACGGTCAGCCTATTTGTAAACTACATAATTCTTTTGGACATTGTGGTAGACTGAATAATGCCCCCCTGATGAGGTCACACCCTAATTCCAGATCCTGGAAATATATTACCTTACATGCTAAAAGGGGCTTTGCAGCTGTGATTAATTAAGGATCTTGGCGTGGGGAGATTATCCTGGAATATCCAGGTAGGTTCTATGTAATCACAGGGTCTGATAAGAGGAGACAGGGGGACCATAGTCAGGAGAATGTTATTTGATGAGAGAAACAGAGGGACAGAGAGAGAAGACACTGCTGCCGTGGAAGATGAAGGAAGGGGCTACGAGCCAAGGAGAGCTGGTGGTCTCTGGAAGGTAGAAAAGGCAAGGAAGAGAGAAACAGAGGGACAGAGAGAGAAGACACTGCTGCCGTGGAAGATGAAGGAAGGGGCTACTAGCCAAGGAGAGCTGGTGGTCTCTGGAAGGTAGAAAAGGCAAGGAAGCAAATTCTCTCCTCGAGCCTCTGAAAGGAATGTAGCCCTGTGGACCCATTTTAGACTTCTGACCTCTAGAACAGTAAGATAACAAATGTGTGTTGTTTTAAGCCACCAAATTTGTGATAATGTGTTTCAGTAACAATAGGAAACCCATATAGTGCTGTTTCTTCTTTAGGGCCTTGGGCTGTCCTCTAGTTAACCAGATGCATCAGCTGCACAGTGAGCCCTTGACAGCATCCACAGTCACTAGACTGGTCCACTCTGACCTGTTTTCTCTGAACTGCTAAAGGCCCATGGTCGATTCTATTCCTGGACATCCATCTTAGCTCCCATGCACATCCACCAGCCCACAGAGACCTGTCTCATTCCTCCTGCGCACCCCTCCTCCTGCCACAGCACACAGTGGGGAGAACACAGGGTAGGTGTGGGAGACTTGATGTCAAGACAGACTCTTTCCTCCCTTGACAGACACAACCTGCGTGGAGGACTGCCCAGAGGGCTACTATGCCGATGAAGACCACCACCGCTGTGCCCCCTGCCACAGCTCTTGCAGGACATGTGAAGGGAGACACAGCATGCAGTGTAGCTCCTGCCGACCAGGCTGGTTCCAGCTGGGAAAAGAGTGCCTGCTCCAGTGCAGGGAAGGGTAAGTTGCTCAATACCTTTTTCCCCATCTCATCCCACAGCCACTCCAGGTATCAACCCATTTTGCAGATGAGAAAACTGAGACTGAAAACACTTACATAACCAGGTTGAAGTCCCAGTGCTAGCAAGCAGCAAAGATGAGCTAATTCACAATAATGGAAGACAAAGAGGAGAGGCAGAGTGACACTGTGAAATAAGACAAAGGGTCAGATGTCAAACCAGACTCACATGAGCGATCCATCTTACCCAGTGCCAAACCTCACTGCTAGTTCAAAGGAAATCAGCAACCACAAGACAGAGGCGAAGCCTCCTTCCTTCAGAGAATCCAAGACCATTAAGGAACGTTCTTTTCCTTCAGCTTTAGGATTTGTTTGATTCAGATTCAGTATGTGAGGTCTAAGCAGTGCACGCGGAACGCGGATTTTACGAAGGGAACAATTACAGTTCACATCTCCCTTGAATTCTCCAAGCTTTCATGCCCCACACCAATCCACAAATTACAGGTTTAGTTATTATAAACAACCTACACACACTTGATGTACCCTGCTAAAAGCATTTCACAGATAAGGACTCCATTATTTTGCTGCTAGGAAAAATTGCTAGTGTGTTCATTAGAAGGTCTGGTTACCAGCATATTTGGAAGAAGATTTGACCAGGTCACCCTTTTTCCCTCCTGGGCATCCCCAGTAAAGAGAAAGATTGATTATAGGACTGTTGCTGACTCTTCCTTCCCAATCAGTAACTTAGGGCACTGGGAGTTTCTAGACCCAAATCGAAGGGCTGTAACTTTGAACCGTCTCCAAATGCTTGCAGCCAAATATGACATCTCTCTTCTCTTCTCTTCAGCCCTGTAGCAACTGCTGCTCGTTTCATGCACTTTAGTGCTATGTGCTGCCTTGCCCTGATTTACCTCATTCATTCATTCATTTATTTAGTACATTTAATGAAGAGCCCCTTGTGTTGGTATATATGAAGGAGAATAAGATGAAGACTTTGACCTTCAAGAGCTTATTCCCCCTCCCCAGCCCCCCAAGTGGCTGTCTGGCACAGGGAAAGACCTTATTCTTATGTGTCTCTTCCTCCCAAAATTATAAGCTCCTGGAGGAAAAACACCAGCCGCATAGATCAATAAAGAAAGGGCCAAGCCAGACAAGAGTGGGGATGGGGGTGCCTGGCTTAGCCTTTCTGCTTCACCCTAATAAGTGTCTGAAAAGATGTGGATCCCATCTTCCTCAAATCAAGTCATTAAATACTCTTAAGCACACACAAAAAAGGTATCATCCTGTGATCTAAATAGAATGCAGACCATGGAACTAAGAAGACAATTGTTCCACAGTGTGTGAAGTTACCCATGGCAGGGACAGGGCGTGGGGAGAGGCACAGGTTGCCACAGAGCTCTTTAATGGAGGATGAAATGGAGCATTAGTGAAATATAAGTGGAGAACTATTCCTTTTGTGAAACTGATGTTCCACACAAGAGGCACAGGTTGCCACAGAGCTCTTTAATGGAGGATGAAATGGAGCATTAGTGAAATATAGTGGAGAACTATTCCTTTTGTGAAACTGATGTTCCACACACAGTGGATAAGCCTTGTGTGTTAAATCTCTTTGCCTTGGAAAGTCAGGTGTATAATTCTCTGCACCCTGTCCCAACACACACATTTTGGTGCTTAACGTCATAGAAGGTTCTTTAAGGCCCAAGTTATTGTTTGTGCTTATGCATAAGATCCTTTTCAAGGCTGTGAGGCTCAAGAGATTTCACATTCACCTCATGCAAAAGAGTCATCCAAGGCAGCAATGGCATTGTCCTCTTCTTTTAATCAGATCCAGTAAACTGTTCATTGTCTTTCTGTTAGCATTGCTCTGTGATAATTTTTAAAACCTACTTGAAATTGACAAGCCTTCTTTCCTGTGTTTCCTATTAATGCTTTTTGTCTTAATAATAATTTATAACAAAACATTAGTAAAAAACTTTCGTATGTTGCTTTAGTTTACGAAGTGTTTCCACTCATAATGTATCTTAACATTATGATTTGATTCTACAACTATCTCATGAGGTTTATATTAGTCTCTCCATTTTACAGATGAGAAAATTGAGGCTCAGAAAGTTAAGTGTTTACCCAAAGTCACATAGCTACTAATACATGATGGAGCCAGGACTAAAACTCTAATCTTCTGACTCCAATCCTGTGAATTCCCTCTGTCCTGTGTAGATTTTCACTTTACCCTTTTGTTTTCTTTTTTGGAGTCTTATGTGGTCTTTGCCAACTATTCAGTTCATGATCGATGCTTTCTCTTGTTCTCTTTTCATCACCTTGTCTCTCAAATACCTCACAGTCTTACTGATCGACCCAGCAGTAATTGTCTTCACCTGACTGCAGAAAGTAAAGTCAAGCTTAATTTGCCACAAGCTGGGCCACTGAGGTAAAAGTGTACTCACTAAGATCAGTGACAGGTGGCTACACGGAGGTAGGCTCAGCATTACCTAGGCATAGTGTTAGTTTTCAAGTTCACGGAGCTGAATTAGACTACAAAAAAAGCCTGTCGGGACCATAGTTTTGCAACCAGAGAAACCAGAGATGAACCTTCAGGTTTCTAGGATATCTTCAGTGTGCTGAGGTCCAGAGATGCAGAGATGAGTCAGATGACCTCTAGAAGTTCATCCTTATCAAGAATTTTTTTACCCTCTTTTATCTTACTGGCAAAATCTTTGTTTACCTTCAATTAATGCACTGTTTTGTAATAGTGGTGTTTAACAGATAAGTTCAAATCACATTGTCCCACTTCACTAGCCATTGGACCTTAAGCAAGTTGTCTAAATTCTCTAAGCCTCAGTTTTTGCATCTGTAAAATAGGGATAACAATATCTAAATCATAAGGTTTGCTATGAGGATTAATCATAAAATTCTTAATTATCACTAATATACATTAATTATTTATAATGTGCCAGGAACTGTTCTAACCACCTTTCTCAACAATTACGTGTTTAATTTTAGGTACTAACGTTAGCTGCATGTTACAGATGAGGCACAGAGATGTTGAGTGACTGGCCTAAGGTCACACAGCTCCTAAGTGATATGGCTGGGATGTGAAACTATGTAGTCTTATCCCAGGAGCCAAGCCCCTAACCACCATATTCTAGTGTCTCATTTTCAGGTTCAATAAGGCAAAATAGCGTTTATGAAGTCCCTAGAGTACTATCAGGCATATAGTAGGGAGTTAATGAATGGGGATTATTGTTATTATATTTAACCTCCAAAACTCTTTTCAAATGAGGTTACTTCTATTTTGTAAACACCAACATCACTCATGTCCCCTCCTATTTCAAAATGGCTTTTTTTTTTTTTCCAGCAGCTGGCCAGTATGGGGTCAAGATTTTTTTTTTTTTGGTAAGATGACCAGTAAGGGGATCTTAACCCTTGACTTGGTGTTGTCAGCACCACGCTCTCCCGAGTGAACCAACCGGCCATCCCTATATAGGGATCTGAATCCACGACCTTGGTGTTACCAGCACCACACTCTCCCAAGTGAGCCACAGGCTGGCCCTCAAGATAATTTTTAAATAGAGAAATTAGAAGAACAACCATTCAGAGGCACATTTAAAATGTCTTCCACTCCCTGATCCCATTCAACACAACTTCAAGCTTGAATTTGGAGAAGCATATGGAAGAAAAAGGCAATAATAGCTAACGATTATCCAGGTGCTACTATGTGTGATAAGTGCTAGGTCTTTTTTTTTTCTCTGTTTTTTTATACCCCAGATGTGTCAGAGTCAGTGCTAGGTCTTTGCATAGGTGTTATCCAATTTAATCCTTACAAAAGCAGGAGAGGGATTGTAATGCCCAATTTACAGATAAGTAAACTGAGTATCATTAGATTTGTTACTAGTGATACTAATGATTCATTAGGAATGAATCTGATGTGTAAAGGTAAATGGAGACTAAAGTCACCCAGCTTATAAAGGAAGCCTGTGTTACCGTGTGTTCTCTCCCACGCCCAGTGGAGAAGCCTGAGCGTTTCTTCTGCTCCTCCCCCCTCGGTTGCAGATACTACGCAGAGAACTCCACCGGCCAGTGCCAGAGGTGCAGCAGGAGCTGCAAGGCCTGCCGGGGCCCGCGGCCCACGGACTGCCTGGCCTGCGATACATTCTTCTTTCTGCTGCCCTCCAAGGGAGAATGCCATCGCACCTGCCCGGAGCATCACTATGCAGAGCAAAGAACACAGACCTGTGAGAGATGCCATCCCACCTGCAAGACATGCAAAGGTGAGAGTGCGTGTGAAGTTTGCATGTGTGAGCAGAAAAATGCACAGGTTTTCTTCCTGCTCTGCCCCTCTTCCTTCTCACCACCTTTGAAGGTTCCTCTCACGTCCCACCTGGTACCCAGTCCTCTGCTGCATCAGCACCCTCTGACCTGGGCTATTCCTGCCACGCCCCGCTGCCTCCTCAGACACAGGCATCATCTCCTGTAGGAAGTGGTGTTCATCGTTACCTGCTGAATCTGCCTAGGGGAAGCCATTCATTTTTATTACTTCAACAGCTCCCTAAGACTTCTGCCTCAAACTCTCTGTATTAGTCCATTTTCTGTCACTCATAACAGAATATCTGAAACTGGGTAATTTATAAAGAAAGAGAATCTACCTCTCACAGTCTGGGAGGCTGGCAAGTCTGAGGTCGAGTGGGCACATCTGGTGAGAGCCTTCTTCTTGGTGGGAACTGTCTGCAGAGTCCCAAGGTGGTGCACGGTATCATGTGGCGAGGTGGGGAAGAGACAGATAACTGCTTCTTCCTTTCCTTATAAAGCCCCAAGTCTACTCTGATAACCCATTAAAGCATTAACCCATTAATCCATGAATGGATTAATCCATTCATGAGGACACAGTCCCCATAATCCACTCACCTCTTAAGGGCCCCACCTTTCAAATATCATATTGGGGCTTAAGTTCCAACATGAGCTTTGGAGCAGACAAACATTCAGACCATTGCACTCTCCAAGCTCCATTTCTGTTTTCCATTTACCTAGTTGTCTGCCCAGAGATCCTTAAAATCAATGTTGGTGGAGCACCATCCAACCACTAGCCCAGGTTGTTACCTTGGAGTTGTCCCTGACTTTTCTCTTTCCCTTGCCTCCTGCCCAACACAACTACCTCCAACAAAGCTGAACTTCAAGGTCTGTTGATTCTCTCTCCTAAATACTTCTCTAGTTAGATCGACTTCTCCATTCTAAATATCCTCTTTTTCATTCTCAGCATCTCCTACCAGACCTTTTGAGGTGGCCAGCGGGTCACCGCAACTCTGGTCTGGCCACCACCGCCCCTTCCCCTGGTCATCTTATACACTAACACCAGAGTGATCACCCTAAAATTCAAGTTTGCTCATTTTACTTCACATCTTGCCATTAAAAGATGATCACAATAAATTTTTCTCAACATTTAATAAAGAAATACTCCTGTAATATTTTAACCATTAAAACTTTCTAGAAAAATATTAACTTCCGATCTGCCATGGGTAAAAAATTAATAGGCTTTACGTAATAACTTCGTATAGCATACATTATACGAAGTTATACGATGTTGTCAGCACCACGCTCAGCCAGTGAGCGAACCGGCCATCCCTATATAGGATCCGAACCCATGGCCTTGGTGTTATCAGCACCGCACTCTCCCGAGTGAGCCACGGGCCGGCCCCTTAAACACACTGATTTTATAGACTTTGTCAAACTTTTCTATGAAATTGATATTATCTGAAGTTCTGACTATTGATCGTGTTTGTCATTTTTCTTAGCAACTTGCATTAAGTAATCATTAATATGTGTTGTCTTTTTTTCATTCCAAAGATACATATGGTTGCCACTCAAAATTTCCCATCAGAATAAGATAACAAATGAGAGACCACATTGAATTGGGGGTGAGGTGCGAGTGATGTAAAGCTGGCCACATGGTGGTAAATATTGGCTTTCTATTAGGCTTTCTGAAAAGCCGAGGGTATCTCTGATACCATCATTACTGGGTGTGTGGGGCCTTTATTCCAATTAGGGGTGCCAGATAAAATACTGTATTTTGGTTTGCTAAATCTAATGATCCTAATTCCATCCCACTAGTATTATTCACTGAGCAGTGCAGTGGACTAGTAGTGGGGGCACTTGGTTTCTAATTAAGACCAGGCAACCATCATTACGTAAGTTAATGTCTTTTAACATTGGCCAACTAAAAAAGGCAACACCAGCCTTTTATGATTTTTGTGGGGATTGGAGAAATTATCAGTGATGTTGTAAGCACAGTTTGAAGAACTATAAATTTCTTTTAATTGGGTTTGAGTTTTCCTGGGTGAATTAAGGATAATGGTTTTGAGCATTTCCAGTCTCAAAAGTTCATCAACGCAGTATCCCTGAGAGTGTATTCAGGGGATGACTGGGTGCAACTGAGCAAATACTGAAACCATTCTGAGGGTCTGTGCCACCCCCTACTGTAGTTGACTTGAACCCTAGAATGTGCCAGGTTAAAGTTTTCTGTCTTTGGGCCAGCCCGTGGCTCACTCGGGAGAGTGCGGTGCTGATAACACCAATGCCCCGGGTTCAGATCCCATATAGGGATGGCCAGTTAGCTCACTGGGTGAGCGTGGTGCTGACAACACCAAGTCAAGGGTTAAGATCCCCTTACCGGTCATCTTTTTTAAAAAAAAGTTTTCTGTCTTTGATGCTCATTTTCTTCTGCTGTCCTTTCTTTGCCACAGCACACACGTCCTTTGCTGATTAGTGAATCTCTGTTCTGTCTTCTGGTTTTGCAACACACGATGATTACAAAATTTGGGGACAGGTTTTCTCCTGGGATGTAAACTGTTTGGGGGAAAAAAGGGTGAATTCATACCTTCTTAAAATATTAGCTGTCATAGTAAGAAATGAGGATGCATAGAAGAATCAGGATTAGCAACCTAAATAAGCAATTTACCAACTAGATTACATATTATTCACTTTTGACTGCGTGATAATTTTAGGATGTCAAGAAGAAAAAAAAGCACAGGGGGTGGCAGAGGGAGTGGGGAAGCATAGCACACTCAGGCCCAATATGTACTGTTGTATTTAACTGGTACCTCCATAATTAACTCATTCCTTGTCTTCACACATTTGACTTTTTATTTATCCTCCTCATAAAACTGTTTGGAATCAAAATCCAGGCTGAGTAACCAAAGCCTCCTAACTCTCTCAAGCTGCCTCTTTCTGTGTGGAATGATGCCCATGCACAGACCCAGGCGCTGTTCTGCATTTGTTGAATTCATCCCATGGGGGTCAGTCTGAGGGAGAGCAGATGGTGAGCTGTGCTGAATTTTAAGGAAATCAAAGTGACTGTCTTTTAGGTTCTGAGGTTCCTGCAGATCCTTAGAAGCAATGATGGATGTAGGGTCTTAAACTTGAAAACGACAGAAAGCATTCTGGAAATTAACAAACCGCCTTTCACAAAAGATTCTGGGTTCCCTAAGTGTGCAGATTTTGCAATAAATCAATGTAGGAGACGTAAATGGAGTCACTGATGTATTACCCAAAGCCGACGGCTAGTGCCTTCGGGTATTGCCCACAATCTGGGCCTCAACCAAATTGCTGCTGGTCTCCTAGAAATTGTAACCACCGTTAACATACCAATTTTGTGACCTAACATTGTTACTGCCTTTTCCCCCTCTTAGTTTTTTCTACCCTTATTTTGTTTTATTGCAAATTGACAAATTATAGTTGTATATATTTATGGGGTCCAAATCATGTTATATTTATACAATATGGAATGATTAAATCAAGCTCACTAGCATGTCCATCACCTCGAATACTTTTTTTTTTTTTTAAAGATGACCAGTAAAGGGATCTTAACCCTTGACTTGGTGTTGTCAGCACCACACTCAACCAGTGAGCGAACCGGCCATCCCTTTATGGGATCCGAACCCGTGGCCTTGGTGTTGTCAACACCACACTCTCCCAAGTGAGCCACAGGCCAGCCCATTTCCACAAACTTTTTGAAGTACCCATCTCACTTGAGATTATATATCTACCCTTAATTTCTCTTCATTAAAAAAAAAAAACTCTCCTATTTTAAAAATTGGAGTAAGATATCTAAGCTATATTTTAGAAAAATATAGGAATGGAAAAGGAAGGAAGTAGGGGAAGATTGATTCTTTCATCAGAGACCACAATTATGTTCCAGAACATGTAGGAAATCCTGTATGAAGCTAGAGCTAAGATGAAAATAGAGCAGTTATGAATATACAGGCAGCCCCCAACCTAAAAAGCAGGTGGATAATAAAGGTTTTTTTCTCTAAGCTATTATTCAAAGCTCAGAATTTATTTTTTCCACAGAAGCCACATTGTGAATGATTGAGCTCACAGATCGAAGGTGAAAACTCAATTAAACTCTATTGTGAATGTGAAGGACAGGAACTATAGTTCTATTTGAAGTTCAACTAACCACCCTTTACAGTAGTGATTTTTTTTTTTTTTTTTTAAGATGACCGGTAAGGGGATCTTAACCCTTGACTTGGTGTTGTCAGCACCACGCTCTCCCAGTGAGCAACCGGCCATCCCTATATGGGATCCGAACCCGTGGCCTTGGTGTTATCAGCACCACACTCTCCGGAGTTGAGCCACGGGCCGGCCGTCTTATAGTAGTGTTCTGAATGGGAAGACCTATGTCAAGTTCCAACTCATAATACTAAGCATATTCTGTTTTGAAATTCTCAGTGCAAGTGCCAGGGCCTTCCTAACAGAGTGAATGAGAGCTCAGGTCTCCTGCCTTTACACTTTCCAGAAGTTATTGCTCGATACCTGCATAAAAGGTAATGTTTGGGCCAGTCATTCTCTGGGTGTCTGAATTAGAAGAAGAGGGTGTTGCGTCCACAGAAAACAGTCTGTAATTCAGACCTCCTCTGTTTGGTGGTTCACGTGTTAAGGCCGATAGAGTGGTAGAAAGAGCACTGGATTGTGAGTCAACAAACCTGAATTTGAATCAATTTGACCATTACCTATGTAACCTCGGATGGGTGACACTGCATGTCTGGTCCTTGGTTTTCATTTATTTGAAAAGTAATAGATAAATAAGATGTCAAATTTCTGAAAAGAGATGGGGCTGGCTGGTTAGCTCACTCAGTAGAGCATGGTTTTTATAACATCAAGGTCAAGGGTTCGGATCCCTGTACCACCAGCCAGCCACCAAAAAAAAAAAAAATTCTTAGAAGAGAGTTTATAGCTTTCAAGACAATTTCAAAGTAATCATTCATTCACTTCCACCAATCCCAAAATTAAGAACCACTGAACAAAGTGATCTGCTAAGTCGTTAGCATTTTAAGTTCCAACTCTAACGCTGTTTCTTAATTAGGGACTGTCCATTCATGACTCACTCAGTATGTGAGTATTGGGACCCTCTTGATCAGCTGGCATCATCCTCCACAGTAGTTAAACACTAAGAAGAATGACAAAGTTTTTCTAAACTTTCTACATGATTTCTTATTTTTCTTTCTTTTTTTTTTTTTTAAAGATGACCGGTAAGGGGATCTTAACCCTTGACTTGGTGTTGTAAGCACCACGCTCAGCCAGTGAGCAAACCGGCCATCCCTATATAGGGATCCAAACCCATGGCCTTAGTGTTATTAGCACCGCACTCTCCCGAGTGAGCCACAGGCTGGCCCCTGATTTCTTACTTTTCTGAAAATCTTTTCTCTTGCTGTAACAAGACATCTGTCATCCCCAAGTCTCCAATTTCCAGGTGGAGGGTCTACCTAGATAGGACTAATTGGATAATTTCCAGGGCTTCACTTCGTCTTATAGACCTTTTTTTCTACATCTTCAATCAATTCACCCTTCTGCTTCAATTTACTTGATGTATTCCTTATTCCTAAGTGTCCGGACCCAAAGCAAAGGCTGAAATCAAAGCTCAGTCTCATAACTTAGAATCATTTTTTTTTTCTTTCCTTTCAGGAACAGGAGCATTGAGTTGCTTATCCTGTGTGTGGAGTTACCACCTCATGGGAGGAATCTGCACCTCGGACTGTCTTGTGGGGGAGTACAGAGTGGGAGAGGTACTGAGAGCTGGGGGGGTGCCTTCTGCCCTCTCCAAGGAGGGGTGTGAGCCCGGCTCCTGCCTGTCATCCTGGACAGTCAAAAAGTCCTAGGCGGGTCCGAGTGCAGAGGTGTTTACAACGAACTGATCACAACCAGTTAAGGTTTCTTTGTTCCTTCTCTGCTCCCTCTGCTTCCCCTGACTAGTCTTTCAAAAATATAACTAATTTTTTGAAAAGTCCTAAGATTCCCACACTCATGATAATTTAGGTTTAGTGTGTTAACATCTTCTACCAACACATCATGGAATAACGGTGCTATCCACCTGTAGCCTTCACTTCAATCAGAGGAACTGAGCAGACCTAAGATGAATACTGGGGCAGTTCAGTAATGAGGCCTCAGAATGAACTCGGCATTTGTGAGTTTGTGACCACAGGAGTCTCAGTCTGCGTAAGACCATCATGTCAGAAATACGACCTTTCTTCTCTCTTACCCCCTGCTGTGTAGCTGGAAACACCTGCCTAATGGAGGCCCTACACAGCTGATGCTGGTCTTTCATGTTCTCCACCCTTCACAGCATATTAAGAAGGACTTATTGCTTGTGTAGAAGCAATCAATTTTGAGTCCAGTAATTTCTTGATTGTGTTTCCAAACTTTAGAAAATAAGTAAGTCTCTCCATGGTGAAATTAACACAAATCAGCATATTCACTTATGAGCTCTCTTTAAATTCTGACAACAGCCCTCATCACAGTTTGGAGAAACTGAGGCTCGGAGAGGTTAAATAATTTGCTAAAGATTACATATGTAGTAGGTAACAAAGCTGGGATTGAACCCCCGGGGATTAGATGAGATAATAACAAACAGCCAAGAAAGCACCTTAACATGCCAAGGTGCTCAACAAAAACAATTTCCGTCCTTCTTTTTCGGTTACACCACACTGCCAAAGCTACAGAAGCAAAATAGGAAGGCATCTTCCCTAACCCACATTTCCAGCGCCCGTCAAAGAACAACTTGTCGAGAGAAAAGCCACTTTCTTCTCATGTCTCCACTCTATTTCCAAGGAGATTTAACTGCTTTAGCTACATGGTCACAACTTAACGTTATTCTTGGGCTGGGCCACAAGAATCCAGTAACCACAGTTGCCAAGCAGGTAACTAACGTCGATGAGTGAAAGGTGCTAGAAGAAAGCTTGATGCAAAGCAGAAATGGATGGGTCACGGATGTATTGGTGACATGATAGCAAGTGCTGAGAATCGTGTCAAATAGGAGAGCATAAAAGGGGTGGTAAGGGGATCTTAACCCTTGACTTGGTGTTGTCTGCACCACGCTCAGCCAGTGAGCGAACCGGCCATCCCTACATGGGATCCGAACCCGTGGCCTTGGTGTTATCAGCACCGCACTCTCCCGAGTGAGCCACGGGCCGGCCCAGGAGTTGTAGTTGTTAAGTCTTCTTCCCCCTCCCCTGGTTTTTGTGTGTGTGTGTGTGTGTGAATTTATTTATTTATTTTTAGCTCCCACCAATAAGTGAGAACATGTGGTATTTCTCTTTCTGTGCCTGACTTGTTTCACTTAATGTAATTCTCTCAGGTCTCCTAGTTTTCAAAGAGAAATTAGGAACTGATTTATGTGTAAAACATCTCACTTTAGAAATGCCAAGAAATGAATGCAACAGGTTTCAAACTGTGAGAGCCATGGTAGTGTGAGCCTGGACAAAACTAGTCCTTGACTTGAGCTGTCCTTGAACTCATGCTCATGAGCTGTCAGTTTGTAACTCACACTGTTCTAGAAGCCAGTCCTCCCATTACTGTTACTAGCAGATTTCAGAGGTAGGGCCCAGCGATGGTTCCAGCCAATCGCAGACTGTTGGTTCTGTCACTCAGTCAGCACAGTTAAACTGGACCCGGAACATGCTGTCTTTCTGCTGTCCCCCCATGCCTCCCTCCTCATGGAGACAAGATAGGACCCCTATCTGGGAACTTCAGTGCCTTGATATCTTCTCTGCACTCAGAAGGAACTTCCTGATTGTTCTTAACAGGGAGAAAAATTTAAGTGTGAAAAATGCCACGAGAGCTGCCTGGAATGCAAGGGACCTGGCACCAGGAACTGCACCATGTGCCCCGCCAGCCTGGTGCTGCACATGGATGACAGCCGCTGCCTCCACTGCTGCAACGCCTCCAATCCCGCTGCCCAGGAGTGCTGTGACTGCCACGACACCACGGGTGAGGGGAGAGGAAGGGCATGTCCTCAGGAAGCTGAGGAGAGTAGTGGGAGAGGAGCATGGAAAGTTCAGGAGCATCTGTATGGCTACCTTTTTACTGAGTGCCTGCTACATGCCTACTGATTTGAAACTTCATGTCCATCATCTCATTTCACAAGTAGATATTATTAGTCCCATTTCAGATATGACGGACTGAGGCTGACAGGGTGTCATTAGCATGCCCAAGTCCACACCAATATTAAGAGGTTCATCTGGAATTAGCTGGGTCTTTTGGGCTGCAAAGCCCACATTCTTTCCACTGCCATGCTGCTTCCAAGATCAGAGCTTAAGTAGGTCTAGAATTTTATCTTTATACATGTACTTTGTTCCTTTTTTATTCTTCCCACCTGGAAGAAGGCTAAGAAGAAACAAAACCCCCTTTTCCAATTTCCAGTCCCCTGTCTTCCACTTCCAACCCCTCCACGTGGGCACTTGGTTCTCATTGGCCACAAACTTTGAAAATTTCTGAATGGAGTGATTCCTACTAAAAAACACATATTCTTTAAATATATTCTCTAGTCCAGAAGTAGATAATTTCCTTGGGATTCAGATGTATCACTGCTTGGGCTGGCCAGTTAGCTCAGTTGGTTAGACTCTAGCACAGCCTTGTAACACCAAGGACAAGGGTTTAGTTCCCCATACCAGCCAGCTGCCAAAACAAAAACAACAAAAATTGTTCAAAATATATCTTTGTTTGACAAAAAGAGAGAGATCATGTTTATGGGAGTCAGTCCATTTATAAATAAAAAATCCCAGGCCTATAACGCTACAAGCCATTTCTTTATTTTTTATCAGCCGTTTCAATTAGGTTCTAAGTATCATCTTTCCAAAAACTAATTATTTCCTTCTTTCAGCTTTCCCCCTGCCCCATGAACAGCTGGTTTCTTTAGCTCCTCATACACATCCACTTTCAGATCTGATTTCCTAATAGCCAGGCTGTGTCAACTAAGAATAGTAACTCTCATTACATCAATGCCTTTAAATGAAACCAGATATGTGTGCATGTTGGGTGCAGAGTTTCTGAAAGCCTGTTCCAACTAAGAACTGTTAAGTCAGCTTTCCTGGCCCCTCTGTGGCTCCTGAAGAGACACCTGGGGCAACTCTGCAAAAGTCCAAAATACTCTTGATTACCTGCTCCTCCTCTACTGAGATACCCTGCCCCTTCAAAGAAACCAGATCACAGAGGCTGACCCTAACTCTGCAGATCTGAGCTGGAGAATAGTAAGCAATGCGTGATTGCATATGGCACCTTGGTAACTGAAACAACCTCGAAATGTCTCTTATTGATTCTCCTGCTTCAGGCAGTATTTATCTTAAAATACCACACAGAAATTGCTTATCTATCCCTCCGGTGCTTTAACATTTCCTCCAGGGAAAAATTCTGTGCTGATTTATTAATGATGAATGCAATGATAGTGTTATTACTTTACAAGAGTAAATTCTGCTTGCTGGACAAAATCCCATGAGAATGAAAGTTATGATAAAATAGGAAACATGTTTAGCACTAGCAGAAAAGAGAGAAATGCATAGTGGTGATGAATCAGATCTAGTTGGTCAATATCCTAGTAAGCAAAAATCATTGTACCTGACAGCAATAGTATATCCATTAATCTATTGTCTAGAATGTACCTAGGATCTCTCATAAAAGAATCCTGGGGGCAGATCCAAGCAGTTCAACAATTATTTATGAAAAGCTCACTGTGCGCTTCAACTTGTATATCCAACATGGCCTGACGGTTTTTTCTCTAGTACTTCAAACTCTTTTTCACAATCCATTGCAATGGGTTAAAGAAAAAAAAAAAAAGAGGTATATTACCCAGGCTGATGGATGATAGGGGCAGAGTTCTCGACTTCAGAAATTTTAATTATGATAGAAGAAGTCCCCTATAGCAAACACTGGTAGTCGGGATTTAAAGATGACACTTCTTTTCCTGCCAGGCGAGGGCCACAAAACTCCAAGAAGCCAACAAACAGTTGTCAGAGTATTTTTGCCCTAATGTCTCTAGACGATAGCATGGAGTTAGGATTCCTGGATTTTAATCCTGATTGCTCCACAAACAAGGTCTTGTCTCTGTTAATGTGATAATTCACTTCTACTTGGTGGGCCTTAGTTCTCTCAACAGTGAAACAAGAGATTGGCCTAAGTAATTTCTAAGGTCCGACATGGCTATAAGAGTCAGTGGTCTTGGGGCCGGCCTGGTGGCGCACTGCTACAGTGCGCCGCTTGGGAGTGCGGTGGCGCTCCC